GGTTCTGTGAGCATGAAAGAGTCATCTGTTTATCCACATAAATTAATGCGTTTTATATTTACAGTATTGTAATAACAAAATCTGGAGCGATTTGAAAAGAACTCTTATGAAATATCCAAACCTCAAACATCTTAGTCTGCGGAGTCCAGAGTACATAACAGATGAACATATCAAGCAATTGGTTAACATGTTACCCAATCTGGTTATATTTGATGTTTCTAGATGTGATGGTGTCACTCAAAGAGCTGCTGATTATGTTGCAAATTATTGTAAACGAAATGACAGATCAACCAAATTTTACTTCAATGGGAATCGCCATGAAATTCAATTAGATTGGCCGTGGTTATCCACTAAAATAGAGAAAATTAGTCGAGGTTTCGATTTCATGAAACACTGCTTTCTTAAAGATTTTCATCACCTTCCATGTTTCTTGGTTCCAATTGATTATTGAAAACCACATAAATACTAATATATTTGATATTTTGTACTTTGGAAGCCCATTTAAAGAGTTTGAACTGAATGTCTATTATTTTTACTCTTTTCGCGATCTGTTTTTATGTGCCCGTCCACGTTTCTTGATTCCTGTTGATTTTAAAAGCCTCATACGCGTGAATATTATCTATTGTCTAATCTAGAAAAGTTGTCTTGGTGGTCAAAGAAACTGGACTTTAGTTCGATCAAGAAGCGGTAGAAAACTTTTTTGCGTTATAGAGATTTCAGAATTAATAGAATGGCAAATCGTGAAATGTGAATAAACTATGTTCACCATGATTTTGAACGACCATTCTTAAATTTGAGATGCTGGTAAAATAATGCTAATTTTCGTGTTTCTCATTTCGCTGACTTTTAATTTTCTTAAATTTTTTTATGTTGATTACTGAACAAAAAAATTTCATACGAATTAATAATTCTGCAAAACATGATTTACAAATTTACAAATTTTGTTCTTGTTTATTAGTGGACTAGGAAATCACACAATTTTTTTATGATAATCAACATTGAGTGAAATGGGCGATGAATAAGAGCGTTGTAATGGTGATTCTGATGATGTATTTGATGAAGGAGATTTATTTGTGTCACATGAGAAAAGGGCTTTTGCTTTCCGACGAATCGTACTGTTAAGGTCTCTGTTAAGGAAAGAACTGAACTATGCCTCCAGACATTAACTGTCTGGCATTCACTACGCTGTCTGGGTTTTACAGAAAAGGGTCATCAGGGTGAATCAGTTTAACCTGAGTACTATAAAAAAATTCCTTACCTCAAGTGAAAGTCCAAACTAAGAACTATTTTTATACAAAATTCTGAACTAATCCATCGTTTTTACGCTCAAGTAGTCAATATCGTTGGATTCAAAGTTGATCTGAGAGTTACAGGTCATCTAAAATTCAGTTTTTCGATAAGCTTCGATTTGGTCACAAAGCTTATCGTATTCAACCAAGTCATAATGCTTTTTGCCAACATCCCACTGTCAATGATACATTGGCTAGTCGTGCAATATCTGGTACTGCTGTGCTTAAAAATAATAAAGAAAGGTTTACAGAAACTGGAGTTATATTCGAAGAAACTTATGAGATATCTTTTCAATACTTTCTTAACTTTACAAAACAATTTTCCCACCAAAAACCTCTTATCCACACGCATTGATGAATGCATTCAAGCTCCTTTGCAGACACGAAAGTTGATTAATGTATCCACTAAATCAAATCACAATTTGGGAATGGCTAGAATATAGATTGAATTCAAACTCTTCGAATAACGTTAGGCCTCCACAGTCACAGAGTAACAAATATATTGATAAATACATTTATGTGGTTTTCAATCGTCAATAGGAATCAAGAAATATGGAAGGTCTAAAAAATCTTTGAGAAAACAATGTTTCATGAAATCCAAGCCTTGACTAATTATTTCTTGCTTAGAGGACAACAGAGGCCAATCTGAGTCGATTTCATTGTAATTGCCATTGAAGTAAAACTTGATTGTTCGTCCATATCGTTTACAATAATCCTGGACATACTTAGCAGCTTTACAACTGACACTTAGACATCCACAAACATCAAGTAGCACTAAATTGGGTAAAATGTGAACCAACTCCTCGATATGTTCATCTGTTATATTAGATTGTCTCCACAACGCAAGATGTTTGAGATTCGGATATTTCATCAGCAATCTTTTTAAATCATTCCAGTCGATTGATCTGGGATTAAAAATACTACTAATAGTATCTGCTATCTCCTGAAAATGTAAAAACAATTAGTTTGTATAAATTAATTTTACTTATTATTAAATTAATTAATTGAATGATACTTACAGCAGATATAACTAAATCTTGCAAACTTTCGTGTTTTAATGTTCCATCAAAAAACAAGTGGCTAGAATTCGTGATGAAATGTGCACTTTGTAGATTTGGACATGAATCCATGAACTGGAAAGCATAAGAAGCTTCGTTTCCAAGAAACAATGTAGTCATGAAGGCAAATTCAGCTATTTTAAGCTTTTCCAATACTGGACCATCGTACATGGAGTCTCTGCCACAACAATTAAAAACATTTATGCGTTCAAGATTTGGGAACAGATGTGCGTCTTTCTTGAATCTATCCAAACTTTCCACTCGGAACAATTGTTTTACACTGGAACTTTCATGTTGAATGTTTGGCTCAAATAAATCACAGGATACCTTTTTGAGTTGAAAACGATATTTTTCTATTAGTCCATGATGTGAGTTGATTGATCCTTGCGAAGGTTCTTGATTTCTGGCCAATGCAAAATTATGTTTTCGTTTTTCTTCTTGCTCGAGTTTGTAAGAAATCTAATATAATAATGTAATAAAGAAAATAAATTATTTTTTTCAGCAATTAAGTTGATAAGATGAATAACGAAATGAATACAAAATGAACAATCAAAATTAAAATGAATTAATCATATCAACTAACTATTAAATTTGGAAATTCTGTGCTTAAATCAGTTCCATCGATCTGTTTAATATCTCGATAATAGACACAATCATCATACTCCGGGTAAAGATCTGAAAATATAAATTGATCAAAATAAGAATAAGTACTAACAATTTAACAAAACATTTGAATCTTACCAAGCAAATATTTAACTTTTTTGGTTCTCTGAGCAATTAAATGACTCCACTTGCCACACACTGCAATAAAAATGTTATCGAGTTACTAAAATTTCAGTTTATTTGTGCAATAATTATCCAATTTCCTTCATAATTCTAACAATCTACAAAAAAATTTTAAAATATTGTAGAACTACGCTTCAACAGTCATATAATGCATTGATTTAATGGCCATAAGATACCAAAAGATGCTTCTATTCAGATGAAACTTTCATATTTTTATAATATAATACTTGACAGGGTCAGAAGTTAGTTGACTCATATAAGGGTCTTGGGCCAATATGGCTAGAACATCAGATATTTGACTAGATTCATTTAGCAAATTGTGATTATCGCTGAAGGTATGTAAAATATCAATGGATTATATGACTTTCATGATGCAAATGTAAATGAGTTGGTAATTACCTTTAAAGCAGTTCACTAAATCATCCAAGTAATTCACATAATCAAAAATGGTGAGTAAACAATCATCTGGAAGTTCATTAATCAACATTGTAAAATCAGATTATGGCAAAAAGTATTGAATCTTGTGCTTGTAGACTCTACAATTAAAAAAACGGAAAAATAGTTAATTGTGATTTACTAAATTTGATTGGTCATTAGAAAGTATGATTTAATTTTAATTCAAACAGATGTCAGCAGTATATTGAGATTATTTGTGTTAATTTGTTATTGAAAATTTCAAAAAAATATCTTGGTTTGAATATCTAAATATGAGGTTTCAATAATCAATAGGAACTAAGAAATGTGGAAGGTAATGAAAATCTTTGAGAAAACAATGTTTCATGAAATCGAAACCTCGACTAATTTTTTCTCGTTCAGGGGACAACTGAGGCCAATCTAATTCGATTTCAGAGTCATTCCCATTGAAGTAGAATTTGATTGCCCTTCCATTTCGTTTACAATGATTTTTGATATAATCAGCAGCTCTGTGCGTCACATTATAACATCCAAAAACATCAAATAGAACCAAATTGGGTAAAATGTGAACCAATTGCTTGATATGTTCATCTTTTATGCCACGTAGATTCCTCAACGCAAGATGTTTGAGATTCGGATATTTCATGAGCAATCTTTTCAAATCATTCCAATTGTTTTGGTCATTACAATCCTGTAAATACAAAATCAATTAGTTTATAGGAATAAATTACGAACAGATTACCCTCCCTGTTGACGTAACCTAAACTTGTTGACTATAATCTAAAAATGATCAAATAAATTTGCATATTCCGAAAATGTTTTCAAAAAAATCAAGTACATTTAAAATCCAACTAATACTTACATAATCTATAACTAAATCTTGTAAACATTCGAGTCTTATTGTTTCATCAACAAACAATGGATTATCATTCAGCAAAATATGTGCACTTTGCAAATTTGGACATGAATCCATGAACTTGAGAGCATAACAAATGCCATGAGGATATGATGAGAACAGTTCAAGTATTTTGAGCTTTTCCAATACTGGACCCGTGTAAAGGTCGTATTCGTAATCACAGTGCACATTTAGTCTTTCAAGATTTGGGAAATAATGGACGTCTTTTTGGAATCTATCTATACTTGTCCATCTGTACAATTGTTTTATACTGGAACCATTATGTTGACTGCTTGAATTGAATAAATCGAAGGATACCATTTCGAGGTTATCGCAATATTCGGATAGTGCTTCATGATATCGTCCAGTTAATCCTTTCAGAGATTTTTGATTTTTGAGCAATGCAACAATATCTTCGCGTTTGACTTTTCCACCAAATTTATAAGAAATTTCAGCAATCTAAGTTGATAAGATGGATAAAAAGAATAAGGAAAAGAATACAAAATGAGCAATCGAAATGAAATTGAATCAATCATATCAACTCACTTTTAAATTCGGAAATAATGTGCTAAGACAAGTTCCATCAATCGGTTCTGTTCCTCGATAAGAAACACAATCACCATTCTCCGGATAACCTCCTAAAAATATAAATTAATTAGTCAGAATATTGATCACAATGAGAATAGGTAATAAGAAATAAAACAAAGAGTCTTACCAAGCAAATATTTAACTTTTTTGGTTCTCTGAGCAGTTAAATGACTCCACTTGATACACACTGCAATAAAAATGTTATCGAATTACTAAAATTTCAGTTAATTTGCTCAATAATTATCCAATTTCCTTCATAATTATAACAATCTACAAAACATTGCTAAAAAATATTTAAACTTTTATATTTTTATAATATAATAATGCTTGTCAGAGTCATAAGCTAGTTGACTCATATAAGAGTTTATTTGTTCAATAAAGCTAAAATATCAAATATTTGACTAGATTTATTTAACAAATTGAGATTTTCGCTGAAGGTATGGAAATTCTAAGGATTATATGATAAAGAAAAAAATGATAGATGCTTACCTTTAAAGCAGTTCACTAAATCATCCAAGTTATTCAAATAATCAAAAATGGTGAGTAAACAATCATCTGGAAGTTCGTTAATCAACATTGTAAAATAAACTTATGGCCAAACTACAGCTTTTTCGGGAATCGTCTGATTTTAGTTTGAATGGATAGTTAATTTTAGTTGACATAGATGTCAGCAGTAGGTTGAGATAATTTGCATTTTGAATTTTAGATTTAGTTTTCCACAGAGTTTTTTGCTTTTTTGTTACATCTTGGTGAACTACAAGGAGGAATCACGAATTTTACAGTTTAAACGGTAACAGTATAGTTATACGGACACAAGGCGTAACTAGCAAGGCTTCTAAACCAGTGTCCAATCAAGACAATCTGTTGAAATTTATTATCAATCAATAAAATATAAAAATTGTCCACTAATTCAACAATTGAATATTAGCCTCAGTTGTCCACTAAAAGAGAAAAAATTGCTCAAGGCTTTGATTTCATGAAACATTGCTTTTTTAAAGTTTTTGGTGATCTTCCACATTTCGTAATTCCTGCTGATTATTGAACCACATGCTTACATGGTAGTGTTGAGGAAGGTGACATAAAAACATTAACCATAAATAAGACTCGCTCAGGGAGGACCGATGTGACTATGTAAATGTGAATTAACTTTATTAAGGTTTTGAAATAAATACTGAGGGTTAATAAATGTGGGGTTATTAATGAAGGGTGACAAATAAATGAGAAAAGAAGTTGTTAATAACAAGTGTAAAACTAATCTGCATTAAATGTGCTTTTGATTCTACTTTTTATACTCTATTTTATCTCTGACGTCAGATAGCTAGCCATTGACTAAGATAGCCAAGTGATGAGTAAGCTAGCTAAGCTGACCCTTACTAACCATAATTAATACTATATCCCTAACAGTAGTAATATATTTGTTTACAATATGTACGAATGGAACCCTCGATCTAGACTGATCGTAATTTTTTTCAATTAATTCAATCCATATTCACAGACTCGAAAATAATTCTTGATGAAAACCATCGACAATATGTAAAACTGAAAAATAAAATAAAATCTGGTTCTGCTACTGAACTTTGAAAGTGATTTCATCTAAAACCTTCAGAAAATCAGAGAAATCTTTTAATTACACGAATGATGCTAGTTCTTATGTCCCTAAAAGCTCATCAGGTCGTAACTCTTAACTAAAAGATTTGGCACTTATACACTCTATTTCAAAAGTTTGGTACGTAAATTCATTTTGAAAAAATGCTTGTAAAAATCAAACATCTAAAAATAATTCTTGGTGCGAAAATCAAAAATTTGCTAATCAACAATGTATCTCCATAGATTATTGCATTCAAATCGAATTGAAACGATTCACAAGTTATTGGTGCACCAAGAATTTATTTTTCATGGTAGGTTTTTTGAGAGCATTTTTCAATAGTCTGAGCTATGATGGGTATAAGTTTGAACGCAATCAAATCACTAATTCAATTGCAATTACCGATTGAAAACGAAAAAACTGAAATTTCCATAGAAACCCATTATGAAACAATAATTTGAATAACTTTTTTCAGAATCGTGCTAAAAGACTCAACTTTTCATGAATCAACTGTATACAAATGAGGAAGATTTTATGAAAATTTCAAGCAATTTCTTAGACCCATTAATTAGATAATCAAACATGGACCAAACTTTTGAAAAATCCATTTCAATGTTAAAATTTTCAAAATCAATTTTAATTGTAAAGAATTTATTTTTTAAAAAATAAGATTCAGCATATAAATCACCTCAATTTGATCTATTTATTTTGTAAAAATATTTGAATTAACTTAAATTTTTAGCAAGACAATTCAAAATGAATTTACGGACCAAACTTTTGAAATAGAGTGTAAATCATCCAACAATTAACTAAAAAAAATAATTTCCTTCCCTCCACAATACTTTTGAATACTGTGTCCCAACCACCCTGAACATGATTCTCTCAAGAATCTGAGTTCCTAGAAAACTCTTGTATTTTTTGTTGCTGTTGTCAAATCATGGTCAAAATTTGGCTTGAGAATTCATTACCACCATTTTGACGTAAAAATGACTGACCATGACTGAAGTTTTTTCGCTGACAAACTTTTCCTGACAATCGTAACTAAAGTGAGTTTATTAAAATTAACCAAAACAAACTCTTTGATTTTCTCCCGATCAAACTGAGCTCATATAACACAACGTGAACAAGACAGACCTGGTCATTGCCCAGACAATCTCTCGACAACAGAAAACTCATACAGAATCACTTGGAATGGAATGCAGTTAAATTTTTGAATTTAATCCAAATGCTCACTAGACTGGTATAATATTAACACATATTTTTGCACGTAATTTCCGTATATGTTTCATATTCGGATATTTCATAAAAAAATCTTGCTAAATCATTCCAGTCGATTTGAGGATGGTCGAATACATTTTATTGATAAAAAAATGGGCTTCCGAGGTATAAAAATAACAAATAAATTAATAAGTATGCGGTTCTCAATAATCAATAGGAATCAAGAAATAGGGAAGGGCATCGAAATATTTAAGAAAACAATGTTTCATGAAATCAAAGCCTAGACTAAACTCTTCATCTTCAGTGGACAACTGAGGCCATTCTGATGCGACTTGATTGTAGTCATCGTCATCATTGAAGTAAAACTTGATTGATCTTCCATACCGTTTACAATAATTTTCAACATAATCAGCAGCCCTTTGAGTGACTCTAGGAGAATCATGAATATGCAAAAGTACTAATTCGGGTAAAATGTGAATCAATTGCTCGATATGTTCATCGTAAATCCACAGTCTGTCCAACCTAAGATGTTTAAGATTCGGATACTTAATAAACAATCTTTTTAAATCATTCCAGTCGATTCGAGAAGAGCCAATCTGTAAATATGAAATAAACAGTTTATATTGACAAATTTTGAACAGATAACCTTTCCATATTGTAGATTAACCTTGTTGATTATAATCATAAATTATGATATTCGGAAAATATTTTTTCAAAAAAGACATTGTATTACAAATGAAATTAATACTTACATAAGATAAAACTAAATCTTGCAAGCACTCGAGTTTCAAGTTTCCATCAACAAAAAAGTGATGATATTTTGTGTAAATATGTGCACTTTGCAAATTTGGACATGAATCCATGAACTGGAAAGCATAACAAATCTCATCAGGAGACGACAAGTCAAGTTCAGCTATTTTAAGCTTTTCAAAAACTGGTCCTTTGTTGAAATGATGAACACCTGTGGATGAACGATTTATTTTCATCAGCAAACATTACTCAAAATATTTATATAATCACCTTCATCTCTAATATGTAGCTTTTCCAGATTCGGGAAATAATGAGCAACTCTTTTGAAATCATCTAGAGTAACATTCCCAATGTACAATTGTCTCATACTGGAATCAAAGCCAGGCTAATTTTTTCTTTCTTAATCAGCAACTCCTTGAGTCACTTGATTACACCGAGAAACTTCAAGTAGCGCTAAATTGGGTAAAATGTAAACCGATTGCTCGATATTTCCATCTTTTATGCGAAAGTTGTTGCTCAGAGATGTCTGAGATTCGGTTATTTCATGAGCGATCTTTTAAATCATTCCAGTAGACTACGCCAAAAATACTATGAACATGCAATCAAACAGTTTATATTGATTACTCTTCTATGCTGACGGTACGCAGCTTTTTTGAGCATAATCATAGTAAATTGGTCGAATAAATTTGGATAACTAGAATATTTTCAAAAAAGATTCAAAAACGATTTGCAATTTATTCACCTTTCACGATATTCTAGAAACCTCTGTGGAAGTTAAAGTTTATCTACTGTCTATTATCTATCAACCTTATCTAAAGTTCAAATTCTTTGGCCACAAAGAAAACTCTTTAGACAATAGATGTTATTCCCTAGAAAAACAAACCATGTAATAAAGTGATTGGAAAAACAGATTTATCGCTAGATCTTCAAATGGGCTTCAAAGGTTAAAATAACAAATACTCTAAAATTAAGTGTTTTTCAATCATCAAAAGGAATCAAGAAACATGGAAGGTCTCGAAATTTTTTAAGAAAACAATGTTTCATGAAATCAAAACCTCGACTAGTTCTTTCTTTTTTAGTGGATAACTGAGGCCAATCTGATTCAATTTCATGGTAATTCCCTCTGAAGTAAAACTTGATTGATCGTCCATATCGTTCACATTAATCTCGGACGTACTTAGCAGCTCTTTGAGTGACCCAACGACATCCACGAACATCAAGTAGCACTAAATTGGGTAGAATGTGAACCGATTCCTCGATATGTTCATCTTTTATGGTAGATTGTCTCAAGAACGCAAAATGTTTGAGATTCGGATATTACACAAGCAATCTGTTTAAATCATTCCAGTCGATTGACATAATATTAGGGTGTTCGATAATGCTTTGACCTGAGTTAGTTTCTCTAAATTCTGATGAAGATTAACATTTTGACTTGCTTCTCCGTACTTAATAACAAATATCTACCGAGTATGGTCAGCATTGATCAACATTTAGTCGAGTTATCAGGTCAAATGTCTGAAATCGATTTACGGCTGAATACTAGTAACTCAAAGGTCAAATATGACCTTCCTATATTAAGATTCGGCTCATTGGGCAAACATTTGCAATCTCCAAGCATTCAGCTATTAAATGAGGTGGTAAAAGTCCAACCTTGCCACTCGGAACAATTGTTTTATACTGGAATGTTGAATGCCTGGCTCAAATAAGTCGCAGGATACCATTTTGAGTTGAAAACGCTATTTTTCTATTGGTCCATGATGGATCTTTGCCAAGATTCTTGATTTCTGACCAATGCAAAATTTTCTTTGCGTTTTTTTCCTCCTTGAGATTATAAGAAATCTAATGATATAATGAAGAAAATACTTTAAATTTCTCAAGTTGACAAGATGAGTAAAAAAATGAATATAAACTCAAAGGAGGACCTGCAAATGGATAGGGAAAATCTCCTCTTAGGATATTTTGATGAAATGAACTTTTTTCAATGTAATTTTTTATGCTGATTCCGAATATCTGTTTCTTTTTCCACGCATTCGAAAAGAAAGTTCATATTATGATTAGAAGGTTGCATTTTTTTAGCTCGTTAAAAGAGGTCGCTAAGCCAGTCGATTCTATTCGTGGTTTATGTTATCAAGGGTACTGAATAATATAGTGAAGGTTTGGCCACTGAAAAAATCGCCAAACAGGGTCAAAATTGCAAAAAGCAAATTAAAATATCGATTTATTAGTGACCTTTTAAAAATAACGAAGATGCCGTCTAAGCCAGCTAAATTTTGACATAATGAATGTAATTGAGCATGCTGAATAATACGGTGATGATTTGGTTCCTGAAAAAATAGCCAAACAGGGTGTTGCATTGACATTTGTAAAATTTAACGAAATCCAGTTTTCTACGATTTTCAATCTGTTTGGCTATTTTTTCAAAGCTGCAACCACCATTAGATTATTAAGCATACTCAATTACACTATTTTTGTCAAAAATTAGCTGGCTTAGATGGGATCTTCGTTATTTTTAAAAGGTCACTAATACTATGTGATATTTAGATATTTTTGCCGATATCTTAAAAACTGTGCATGATATAAAAAAATAGATTTGATTTATGAAATTGGCATTGGATTTTGTGTCTGAAAAGTACCATTTCAAAAAAAATTAAGAACAGGCGATTTTGCAGGTCCTCCTTAAATAATCATACCAACCAACTATTATTACAAATATAAAAATAATGTGCTTAAATAAGTTCCGTCAACTTTTTTGAATGCTCGATAGTAACTGCAATCACGCTCCGGGTAAAGTTCTGAAAATATAAATTGATCACAATAAGAATAAGTACGAAGAATGTATCAAAACAAATTTGGAACTTACCCATCAAATATTTAACTTTTGATAGCGCCACTTGATACAAACTGCAATAAAATTGTTATTCAATTACTAAAATTTCAGTTGATTTGCTTAATTATTATGTGAAGAACTACGCTTCGACAGTCAGATAATGCATTGATGTAATGATCATAAGATACCAAAAGAGGTTTCTATTCAGATGAAACTTTCATATTTTTATAATATTATTAATATAATACTTTTCAGGTTCAGAAGTTGGTTGACTAATACATATTGTACATGGTGTAACTAAAGTTCGTGTAAGGAGCGAAAAAATATTTCCCCCTGCGTAGAAACCAATTTTAATTTGCTTTAATTTCTAGATTGAGAAACTGATTCCCTCTCTTAAGCCCTCCTACCTACACGAACTTTAGTTACACCCTGTATAAGGGTCTTTGGCCAATATGGCTAGAATATCAAATATTTGATTAGATTCATTTAGCAAATTGGGATCATCGCTGAAGGTATGGAAAATACTGATCGTCATTTTTTCAATTAATTCAATCCATATTAAAAGACTCGAAAATAATTCTTCATGAAAACCATCGTCATTGTGTAAAACTAAAAAATAAAATAAAATCTAGTTCTGCCGCTGAACAAAATGAAATCTAAGTTTGAACTTTGAAAGTGATTCCATTCAAAACCTTTAGAGAATCAGAAATCTTAATTACACGAATGATGCTAGTTCTTATGTTCCTAAAATTCATTAGGTCGTAACTCTTAACTTGAAAGTCAAACTTTTGCCACTTATAAGTCATCCAACAATAAACTAAATAATAATTTATTTCCTTCCACAATAATTTTGAATATGGGTTGTGTGTTGCGACCAACCTGAACATAGGACAAACATTCAACTTTATAAATCAAGAGTCAAATCTGACAGCATAAGATATACAATGCTATAACTTTTTGTACTAACTTTGTAGATACTGAATTACCTATTATTTCAATGTATTATAGCCCATAATGAAACATCGGTTGGCCGATCTGAGAATTTTTTCATAGCACTAATGCAATTAAGTTTCATTCTCTATAAGTTCCAACTCTTAACTCGAAAGAACATTTTTTTGAATATAATCCTTATTCAGAATCTGTAGAGAAGATGATCTACTGCCATCTATGTGAACTTCAGGGAAAACAAATGAATATGTGGTAAATGGTAAAATCTAATCAGTCAAATACATTTTTTAAATCATTAACCCTTTTGTCTACAATAACTAGATTCAAGTACAAATTTTAGTTAGAATATTTTATTTTAAAATGTTTATCAACGAACTTCCCGAAGAATGTTTGCTAGCCATTTTCGATGAAATAAATCATATAAAGGATTTAATGAACTGCTTTAAAGGTAATTACGAATCATATTGCTTGTATTATATAATAAAATCATCTATTCCCGATGCAAGGGGCGTAACAGGAAAATCTAAATCTACTGAGTTATATTACTAGTTTTAGTGGTTCTTCTGTTGCATCGACCTGATTGTAGAATTTTTTGACTCCAATTTGAAAATCTTGGTTGGCTTTAAAAATTATGACCACTCCAGATTGACTATGATTGATTACCGAGTCTATGTTCTATTGAATTGGCCAGAGAAAGAGAGAGTCTGGCATGGGATCATGTGTATGATCATTAATTAACTCAATCTTCTGGTTTTTGAGGCTCAGTATTTGAATATTATATTTTTTCCATCTAATAATGATTGAACAAATCAATATGAAAATTTTACAGATTAAGTTATGTTGTGTTGGTGTTGTGACAATTGGATAATGATTGAGCAAATCAACAATAAATTCAGTGATTAATTAAAAATTTCATTTCAGTGTGTATCAAATGGAACCATTTAATTGCTGAGCGAACCAAAAAAGTTAAATATTTGATTGGTAAGATTTAAATTTTCATTAAGACTTATTCTCATTGTGACCCATTTATTAATCGCTTAATTTATATTTTCAGAGAATAATACATTTAATAATGGTAATTTAATCGACCTTGTTTATTATGAAGAAGAAGACCAGATTGATGTAGCCTGTCTGAGCATATTATTCCCAAATTTAAAAGTTTGTTAATATAAAATCTTCATTTTACTTATTCTCATTTAATTGATTTTTCTTTATCTTATCCACTTAGATTGCGGAATTTTCTTGTGAATTCGAGAAAAAAGTACAATTTGAAGATATTGTTACACTTGTCAAGAATCAAGAATCTTTGAAAGGATTAATCCATTACAGTCTTAAGCCAATAGAAGAACATTGTGATAAACTCGAAATAATATCCTCCAGTGATATTGAGCCATGCATTTTACGAAATGGTTCGTGCATGAAACAATTGATCATTATGTTTGGTGATCCAACAATATTCAATGATTTTATTAGAGCTGCATATCATTTGCCAAATCTTGAAAGATTACACATTCATATGAATGGTAATTATATAAATATTTTTGTCAGAAATGTTTACTTATGAAAATCCATTAATCCACAGATAGTTACTACAATGGTCCAGTATTGGAAAATCTTAAAATACTTGAACTGAACTTAAGTCCTTTTGGTATAGATATTTGCCATGCTTTCCAGTTCATGGATTCATGTCCAAATTTACAAAGTGTTTATATTCACGGATATCCTGATCAATTTGATGTTGATGTAACATTAAAACTCAAATGCTTGCAAGATTTAGTTATAAGTGTTGTAAGTATTGATTCAATTTGAATATAATTGCTTTTTTGAAAACTTTCGGAATATCAAAATTTGATTTGATTTATTTCTGATTAAAACCAACAAGATTAGGCTACGTCAACATACAAGGGTCATCTGTTAAAAATTTATCCATATAAACTAATTTATTTTTATTTACAGGGCATTGAAAACCGGATCGAAAAGAATGGATTAGCAAGATTGCTTATGAAGTTTCCGAATCTCAAACATCTTGCGTTGAGGGATGGAAATAATATACAAGATGAACATATTGAGCGATTGGTCCCGATTTTACCCAATTTATTGCTACTCGATGTTACTAAATGTCGTGGAGTCACTCAAAGAGCTGCCGATTATGTTAAGGATTATTGTAAAAGATATGGAAGATCAATTAAGTTTTACTTCAATGAGAATCGCATGGAAATCATATCAGATTGGCCTCATTTATCCACTAAACGAGAAAAAATTAGTCGAGGCTTTGATTTCATGAAACATTGTTTTCTTAAAAATTATTATTCGCTTCCATATATCTTGATTCCTATTGATTTTTGAAAACCACACACATATTGATATTTTTACCTCAGAAGCCCTAGTCACTTTTGACTTCACACATAAAAAACTTGAAATCTATATTATATCATATATCAAAAATATCGAATCAAAATCAATCTAGCCTAAATTGAGAAATTTCATTGAGGATAAAGTTCAATAAATTTACTAATATAATGACAATATTGACCATCATAAACAAATTATTACCATCATTTTACAATGTTATACCTGTCAAACTCTTTCGTCATTTTCAATGATTTTATGGGGAACTGTTTAACTGTTCTTATTTTCTTTGGGTCGGGTTCTTGGCCTTATTCACCGATAATACATGACATGTATAACGATAATGTATGTAAAGGTAGAAAATCTTAAATACATACACGAAAGTTGATTAATGTATCCACTAAATCAAATGACAATTTGGGAATGGCTAGCTTTATTATCAAATTCTGGTTTCCATAATTTACAATCAAAATATAGCAATTGATTTTAAAGGAATTGTCTATAATCTCAATCGATTGTAGTCTTATGGCGCAGTCAAACTAGAGAGAGCGTGTAACCAAGCGAAAATTGATACTTAGAATCATTGCCTCTTCGCGTTTTTTGCGTTTAACGCAAAAATTTATTTTAAACAAAAGTAAAAATGTCACAATAACCTTCAAAATTGTATAAAATTTCGATAAATGAACCACAGGTTCGGAGGTTAAAGATGGTCAAGTTGATTGAGTGTTTATTGGGTTCAGTCTCGATTGGAGAATCTTTTTGGGAAAATTTAAATGTAAACGAGCGTGTAGCGCACCTAAATTTTAATAAACGCAAAAGCTGCGCCTTATTTGAACTTTTCCTTGTGCGCTCGTGTTGCTGGCAAGTTTCGACATGATCATTCTTTCAATTCAATTTAATTGTTATCATTATTATTAGTATTACAAGAGTTTTTAATCATGAGCTGCGATTCAAAGTTATATTTACTCTTTGCTCAAGAACCTATTAAACAATAGAGCTTTAAGCTCGAGTAAATTTGGAAATATTATTCACTTAAATATGAAAATTCGAGAAATCGGGCATCATGAAAACGATTTGACAATTTATTCACCTTTCACGATATTCTGAAACCTCTATGATTTGATTGTAATTTTCATTGAAGTAAAAATTGATTTATCTTCCATATCGTTTGCAATAACCTTCAACAAAATGAGCAGCCCTTTGAGTTACTCCATGACATTCACGAACATCAAATTTGTGTATCAACATCAATGTAATTTTTTATAGCTTCTTTATTTTCATATGAAGTTTCTGTACTTCGACCTCAACGGCATCTCTCTAGACTAGACAATAAATGCAATTCACTAAAAACGAAGTCTCGAAATGAAGTGATTCAAAAATAGAGATTGAATACCAACTCTTGGAATGGGTTTCCGCAGCCAAAGAGTAACAAATATCTTGGTTTGAATATCTAAATATGTGGTTTCAATAATCTTTAGGAATCAAGAAACATGGAAGGTGATGAAAATCTTTGAGAAAACAATTTTTCATGAAATCAAAGCCTCGACTAATTTTTTCTCGTTTAGTGGACAACTGAGGCCAATCAGTTCCTATTTCATGGTAATTTCCTTCAAAGTAAAACTTGATTAATCTTCCATATCGTTTACAATAATCTTCAACATAATCAGCAGCCCTTTGAGTGACTGCTGGACAATCATAAATATCAAATAACACTAAATTCGGTAAAATTTGAACCAATTGCTCGATATGTTCATCTTTTATGTAGCGCACGTTCCTCAACGAAAGATGTTTGATGTTCGGAACAAATGAAACAATATCTTCAATCTTTGAGTTGCTTTTACAATGAAATATATTGCAAACATCAGCAATCTGAGTGGATAAGATAAATAAAATTAATATTCAGGAAAAATCTGGAAAAGCTATTTGATTAATAATATGAACTTACAATTAAATTTGGAAATAATTTGCTCAGTCAGGTTATATCAATAAAGTCCTTTTTTTGATAATAAACACAATCAGAAGAATAGTCAGGATAGTCTGAAAAATATGTTTCTGCGATTAAGCAATTGTCCACAATCAGAATGAACATTTTGAATCTTACCAATCAAATATTTAACTTTTTTGGTTCGTTCAACAATTAAATTACTCCATTTGATGCACGCTGAAATGAAATTTTTATTGATTGACTAAAATTTAGTGTTGATTTGCTCAATCATTATTCAATTGCTACACAGCCAACAATCAATCCGTAAAAATATTCAAACACTGCGCCTCAACAGTCAGATGATTGAGTGTTGTTATGATTACAGGATAACAAAAAATGTTTCATCGAGATAAAACTTTATGATACAACTTAAGAGAAAGATCACTGTAATACTCAGACTAGATACCGAAACTAACCTGGGCTGGCTAAAAACTGTAAAAATTGGCTTACAAGTGACTGAAAGCAGAGCTAGCTTGCTAATATTGAAATATAATGATTTATGCGCAAACGACAAGTCAAATCCCCAAAATCATTTAAATTAAAGATCAAACTCTGGTTAAGCAGCTAAATTAGCTGAGCTAATCTTATGGCTGACTTTATGCTACTCGTGTGCGCAATGCGCATCTAGTTAGCTTGATTTGCACTGGCTTCGGTAACTCAAAGTCAGGAGCTATTTGACTAATATGACTTTATCCGGCCACTTCAGCTAGTACAGCAAATAGTCGACTACATAGGTTGCCTTGAAAAATTGTGATTATCGCTGAAGGTATGGAAAATTTGAATGCAAATACAGTAAAAACTCGCAAAAGTTGTACTCGCAAGGTAGCGTGCAGTCTCGCCGTCGTGAGCGTTATTGTTTAATCAACTCTTTAAAATTATTAAGATAATTAATTAGTAAAAGCGAGCAAAATCTTAAATCCCAAAGATGGCGTTACTAAATTTCATATAACCTTTGCGAGGTTTAACTGTATATGATACAAAAAACATGATTGATACTTACCTTTATAGCAGTTTATTAAATCATCTAACAAGGGAAGTTATCCAGATACCCGAGCTACTTTTGAATGAGTGAAGTGTCATTCGATAGAGGATGATGAGTTATGAAAAACTGTCTAGGCTTTTGTAAGTCATTCAAATAATCAAAAATGACATGCAAACAATCATCTGGAAGTACATTGATCAACATTGTAATATAAAATGATAGCAAAAACTAGTTTTGCATTGTTAATTGTGCTTGTAGACTTTACTGTGTACATATGTAACTAGAGGTGTACGATTACATCGATTACAATTTTAAGTGGAAGGTCATCAAAATCTTTGCGAAAGCAATGTTTCATGAAATCAAAGCCACGACTAATTTTTTCTTGTTTAGTGGATAAATAAGGCCAATCTGATTTGATTTGGTTGTAATCATCATTGAAGTAAAACTTCCATATCGTTTACAATGATCTTGAACTTCATCAGAAGCTCTTTGAGTTACTTCAACTCATCCAGGAACATTAAATAGAACCAGATTGCGTGAAAGTACCGACCAATTGCTCAATGTGTTCTTATACTCAGAAAAAATATCAGGGAAACACTATTATACAGTATGGAGCAAAAAAACTGTCACTTCTTCTTCTTTCACAAATCATGTTAAGGATTTGATACTCTTTGAAGTATCTTAATTTAATTTTTAGATCTTGATCATGGATCATTAAGGAGTATATACAGAGATTTTGGAGGGTAAATTAAGCATATTAATTTAGATATTGAACCTAAAAATGGCTAATTTGAATAAAAATTGTGCAAAAAGATTGGAAGTTTCTTTTGTATTGAAAAATATAACTAATAATATTGAAAAATGTGCCAAATTGACGGATGTTAGTCCAAGAACTGTAATTCGAGTGAAAAAAAGGTTAATGAATGGTCAATCAATGGATAGAGTCAAAGGTTCAGGACGTAATACTAAATTAGATGTTACCGCCAGGCGGCGCCTTGGTCGAATCGCTCAACATAACCCAGTTTTATCGAACCAAATGATCGCAAATCGACTGAATTTTCTTGGTTCAGCTCAAGTGAGTAGATTTACTGTTGGTAGAGAGCTGAAAAAACTTGGAATTAAAAGATTTAAACCTAAATTCAAGCCCCTCCTTACCGATCGACACATTGCAAGTCGAATTGAATTTTGTCAGGCAAACTCGAACCGAGATTGGACAAATGTTGTTTTTTCTGACGAGGCTTCATTTCAACTCAACTCAAATTCAATAAAATTGCTCGGCAGAACAGCTAAAACCATTCAACGACCGAAATTCAGTCCCAAAGTTATGGTCTGGGGAGCAATTTCACTCAGGGGACAATCACCAATTAAAATTTGTTTGAAATCGATAAATTCAGATGAATATATCAAAACAATGGAGGATTTCATGATTCCTACAATGTCAACATTTTATCCTGAAGGTTTCATATTCCAACAGGATAATGCACCATGTCATGTCAGCTCAAAAACTTTGAAATTTTTCGATGAATCGAACATCGATGTTCTGACCTGGCCCGCTAATTCACCTGACCTCAACCCCGATCGAGAATGTTTGGGGTTTAATGAAACAAAACCTTGCCAAAATGAAAATATCTTCAATTCAAGATTTGAAACAGAAAATTCAGGATTTATGGGACAATTTATCCCATGACTATCTCACTTCTTTGATAAATTCAATGGATGAACGAGTTAAATTATGCATTGAGGCTAAAGGTCAACATATTCCATATTAATTTTTTCATATAATTCAAGCTTAACGATTAAACTTTTGAATTAAAAATTTTCATCCATATTGATCGATTCTGAGAAAAATTATCTTCGTTTTTCTAAGTGACAGTTTTTTTGCTCGATACTGTATACTCTTTTTAGCTCTCATTTTGTTAGGAATTTGTTTCTTTTCTTTATTCATGAAGATCAATCTGTCTCAATCTGATTGACCACTAAATCCATTAAACCTATTATTTCTATTAAACTGATTCAATTTGTGTTATTTTGAAAAATTGAATTCAAACTGCGATCTATTTTAATACAGTTGTGGAATCAGCATTAAAGGGTCATCAGGGTGAGTCATTTTGATGAAGGTCTAATCGAATGGAGAACTTTCAAAGTTAGATACGATATGATACGCGACCTGAGTACTATGAAAAAATTCTTTACCTCAAGTGAA